GATGGACAAAAATCAATTATTATACAAGAGCAGCACAGTGGGAAGCACTCAACATATTTAGACAGGCCTGAAAAAATCTACTGACAACCAAGAACTCAGAGGGAAAATAGGCATTTTCTGTATGAACTTAAATAAATATTCAGTCACCTGATGCTTTCCCTAGCTAGTGGATCCAAAGCAGTAAAGACAAAAGGATCAGATTATAAATAGAAATAAATAGGAAACACTATTCGTAAAGAGCACTCTATGTCTTGTTCTAAATGAGTTTTTTTGTTACTCTTTTTGGAAATTAAGAATTTATATTTTAATAGTTGCTATGAAATAAATAAAATCCTCATGAACAAAAACATGATTCTAGGGTTGAATTTTTAGTTCCATTAATAACAACAAACAGAAGACGCAAGGGAATTTTAATAGCAACTGAACTTGAAATTTGAAGACCAGAGAGGTAATAAGGTATATTAAGAAGAGGGTATCAGTAGACCGAAGCTTTAGGTGAAGTTACATAAATTTCCAAATTATACAATACCCTAAGTCTTCATTCAAATTAAAAAAAAAAAAACAAAAAAAAAACCAATGTTTAAGTCTTTCTAAAACGAGTCATTCCATGATGTAACTATATGCTGTACCCATACAATGTATTGGGCATAGGTTGTGTTGTTCAAGGGGAGTAAAAGATATTTATAAACAGGATGCTCCATCTCAATTCTAAAGAGAAATTTGGTTTAAAGATTATGGTTTAAAGAGGCTTAAAGAAAACTGAAGGCTACATAAAAGAGGAGATAAATGGGAGGCCCAAGACATCCCACCAAGTGTAATCTAACCTTGGCTTCCATGGCGGGGAATGTGTAGCTGTTTCAAGGCACACCCATAACAGAAAAACAGTGTTGTAGCATATGTAGGATTTCTGGATAAGAAGTGTTGCCTTAGGGTAACAACTCTCAATCAAGATGTTATTTGGGTCATAAACTATAGTTGCTAGACTTTTCCATAGTTGGCCAATGGAGTTTTCATTCAAGTGGTATGATGGAGTATCAGTTGCTCACACTGGCTGAACAGATTGATTAAAACCCCACTGCTCTACTGTTTAGGTGTGTGTCCATGAGTAGGCTATTTAGGCAATTCAGACATTAGCTTTCTTAACTGTAGAAGTAGTATCAATATGGTATCTACCTCAAAAGGTTATTATGACTAATAACTGAGGAAATACATGAGTAGTGATTTGAACAGGGACTAGCACATAGCAGGCATGAAATAAATGTCTGCTGGATTTTTATTTAACTATTTTGTTTGTATTTTTTTTTTTTTTTTTTTGGTAATGGGCTATGTCATATTTTATAAAGCTGAGAAGCAGACCGAGGCATCAGCATCAGCCATCATGGTTTTCTTTCCATTTTGCAAATTTTCCAAGGTCTTTCCTACTTTAGGGCCTTTGCATATGCTTTTCTCTCTGCCAATAATACTCCTCTTTCTCTACCTTACTAATTCCTTCTCAAGCTTCAGGTCTTTGCAGTGCAGGGGGGCCTATCTGACTTGTCCTGTCACTACTGACTCCCAGGATAGCTCAGAAGTATCCTGTAAAAGGCATTATTCTGCTTATCTTTTTCTTATATCTTAATCAGAAGGTAATGTGTATGTATGTGTAAACATGTGTGTAATCTTCTGTATGAATCTTCACCATTTTCTAAGCTCTCTGAGGACAGTTATCATGTCTATTTTGCTCAGCAAACAAAGCTTTTGCACAACCATCATTCAGTGCATATTTGTTAAATAAAAGAAGAAATAAAAATAAATTCAAGACAAATGGAGCTCATTATGATTAGCATCCTGATAATGTCAAATCCTAGAATACCTCACTGTTTTTTCTTAAGTCACATAACAAAAATATTGAACAAGAAGCATAAGTGAACTTCTCTTTGATATCTCTACAGCTTCTCTTTGCGGAGATGCCATTATTCACAACTCAGCCAAATCTCCTCTGAGATTTTTCCAAGAGAGAAAAGGACAAAATTACCAAACATAAATCAAATGATCATAACCTCTTTATAAAATAAAAACTTTAGTAAATTCTATCAAGCATAAGGCTTACTGAATAAGGTAACTAATCTATTCAAATATGTTCTTTTCTCAATTGTGTCTATTTTATGATCAGAGTATTATTTAGAACAAGTATTATTTCCTTTTAATAAATACCAGAATAGCTCAGAGACCAATAGAGGGATGTAGTCTTAAATAGAAAGAAACTATTTTTAATGTTTATTTATTTTGAGAGAGAGAGAGAGAGAGAGAATGGGAAGGAACAGAGAGAGAAGGAGACACAGAATCTAAAGCAGGCTCCAGGCTCTGAACTGTCAACACACAGCACAACTTAGAATTGAACCCACGAGCTGTGAAATCATGGTCTGGGCTGAAGTCAGATGCTTAACCAACTGAGCCACCCGGTGACCCAATAACCTATTTTTCAAAATGTATGCTTACTGTATGCTTCATAGTTACATATTAGTTATCCAGAATAATGATCTGATCAGTTTGTTCTCAGTCATTGTTATAGATCAGAATTACCTACGGAATTTTTTTTTAAAAATGAAGATTTCCCAAGCCCAAACTCAGAAATACTATTTCAAAAGGTATGATATGTGTTTTGGGGAAAAGTACTTCTTAAAAAGTTTTATGTCTGGTTTTAATATGAAGCTAAGAATAAGTACCACTTGTTTTAATAGACATAAAATTGTTTGATTGAGAGAAATGTCTGAATATCTTTTATAAAACAACCTGAGTAATTAAGACTGAGAAATTACATGGATCGTCTGAATTACCTGCTTTGTTTGGACAAGAAGTTTGCAGTAACCTTCACAGTTGAAAAAATATTTAAGGTTAACCATTAAAAAGTTGCTCACTTAAATTTTCCATTTAATTAAATTCTGTTTATTTAATTTAATTTGACAGATATTTGAGTGCTTGTTATGCCTCGGGCACTTTTTTCTGTCATTGAGATTTCAAAAACTGTAAAATTTGATCATGGACTTTATACTCACCTCAAATGGAAACACAGATATACACATTTTCTAAAAAATAAAAACAGTGCATAGTGATTGCCATGATAGCGTCTTGTGATACATAAAGTATACATCCTTCCACACCCCACAACACATACACAACTTAATGGAGAGATCAGACAGTTTCATGGAGTGGTTGTCATCTGAGATGAGTCTGGAGGATGAATAGGATTCTCACAGGGAGATGTGAAGAAATGAGCAAAGTTTTGGAGCTGTAAGATAAGTGACATATCTGGGAGTTTGACGTAAAAATAGGAGACATAGATCCTTTTCTTCAAAGAAATGTTCAGTGATGTTTAGAGAAATACTGCACATATGAAATAAGGAAAATATAGTATAACATTAATCCTAAATAATATAAATTACTTACAAGTACTATCATATCTCAGAAATGGCAAGCAACATATTACAGACAAAAGGAATAGGGCTGACATAATTGTGAGAATAGGTTAACTGGTTACCCCGGGTACGTTAAAACACAGGGTTTCTGAAAGGGAATAATAGGAAATGAGGACGGAAAGGTAGGAGAAGACAAGACTATAGAAGGTCTTGAACATGAGGGTCAAAATTTTAGGTACTTTTTACAGTCAATATGGATTCACTAAAGATTTCTAAGCAAGGAAACAGGAAAATGACAGATCATTACGAGAGAGTACGGTTATACTGCAAAGGGAAAAAGGCTGTCAGCAAATGGATGGTTACATGATTACTGCCATAGTCCTAGCAGGAGGTAGCGAGATCCAGGACATACAGGCAGAAAAAAGATGTCTTAGCCTCTTGTGAAAGCATTTCAACTGAAGAACAAGGCCAGTGAGGTGGGCATGAGAGTTACCTTTGAAAAGAGAGGGATAGATAAAGAGAACTTAGGCAGTTTAGATATGATGGATAGGGAGCAAGTATTCACTGAGGTTCTTAGCAAGGGAGTGATTTAAAAAACTCATGAACTTCCATCACTGTCATTTCATGATTACCAGCTTTGCTTCATTATCAAGAGTCTTTAACCCAAGCTATTTTATTTTGACATGCCTAGAGATGTGACATTCCTTGTTGTTAATAAAGGAACAAGATTATGAATTCCTCCTGGCTTGCTTGCTACTATAAATCTAATATAGAAACTATATAAATGCTAAAAGTGTGTGGTGGTTTGTTTTTTCCTGAACATTAATCTCACATTCTTATTGACTACCTGGGAAGACACAAGAATTAGAATGGATAGGCTTATTCTGTAGGTAGAAAGTAATGACTTAATAATAGAAGAGGTCCTTGCTTATTCTGAAATTAAAATTCCCACTTCAAATGACATAGTAGGCATAGGTAAATGTTACTGTGGGATCTAATTAAACTATATCAATATAAGAAGGGTAAACACATCCAGTGCATCTGTATTAATTCTGTTGCTGGTGAAAATTTTTTTTCTGGTTTAAGAAAACACTTGTCACTTAATGTTATTAGGTAGATTGATTTTCCATGATGAAGACAATTGGAAGCAAGGTTGGAATATAACAGAAAAAAATCCTGAAAAATTAATGACAGGCCCTCTAAAATGTATTAGCAGGAGGTGAAAGAAGAAGCAAAGTTCACATGCAGCCCCTCGTGTAACTATGTTTATACACCTGCACGTCCATATATATTTTAAATCTTAACACTGAAAATTCTTCAATCGTACCTCATTTTGTAGAAATGTAACAAATTCTAGTCATATATAAAGTTCTAATATTAATCAGTATAAACAGCCCAAACATTAATACAAATTACATCATTGAAGACTAACATAATAAAACTGTGCCTAAATTATCCTTGACTCATCTGTTATACAGTAATTGCTAAATAACTGTAAAATACATTACATTCTGTTCCTTACTGTTCAAACTATAATGCCCTTTTTAATCCAATTCCATGTTATTCTACATTTATCTAAAAAGAAATGGGAAAACAAATACTTACCAAAATGGTGGTAACAATCAAAGAACGATTGGATAAGGAATCTGTGATGTTGGCTGGCTTTCCCTTTTGACTTTCTGTCATATTCAGGCCACTGGCTGGATCCCAAGTTCCAATCTATAAAATAGCATATGTACTTTGTAAATTGTCCATCAGGCACCTGGGAGAAAGCACTGTAAGAGAAAGTTAAGACTGCTAACACTTATTATTCACCTCTGCTGCATTATCTGCTGTCGCTAAAGTAAAGGCTGCTTGTTTTAAGCATGATTCACTGCTCTGTGAAGTGTGTCCAGTGAAGTGTGACATTAAAGAACAAAATGATCCACTGCATTTCTACAGTCAGTAAGGGAGCTTAATTTTCCATTCAAACTTTCATTCACCAAGATAAACCACATTTGATGATGCCTTGATAGCTGGCTAGAAACTCATTAATAGTGCATATCTTTTACTGTAATGGATCTATCTCATCCTCTCATTACAAAGATAACATGCCACGTTATATAGACAAAGCTAAAAGAGCAAAACCTGGGAATCCAGGATAAATTAATAGGAAAAGGCAAGCTTAGGAGAGGCATTGATTGGTATTCTGCATTACCCCCAATAGGGCAAAATCTTACCCATAATTGCCTTTGGAGCTTTAAAAAATACACCTTTGCAGCATTCAAAATTCTCCAAAGAATGATTACAACACAACCTCACTGAACAACCCATTCCAGCACTTCAATCTGCTATGCTATTTAATAGTATCTGTATGCTATTTAATATGTACTTTAACTAATACTCTCTGATAATTAGGCCATACACTCTCAGTATTCAGACATTTTATACCCCCTGAACACAGCCTATGGGATGATACAGCACACCTCTGGGAGACACGTGTAAGTGCAGAATGCCGCTAAATGTATAGATTGGGTGGTTTATGTACACCTGCACCATTGCCCTGTCACACAACAATGGTCAGCAGTGAAGAACAGAGGCAAAAGAAGATTTGATCCAGTGGTTCTTTTCTCCACCTCTCAAACTTAGAAGTCATCAATAGTAAAATCTGCTTTCCATATTCCTCTCACCAATTACCCAATGTGTTTATTTAAAGGAAAGGAAAGGAAAACTATCAATTATCAATTTATCTTTAAAGCAAAGCTGTGGGGGCACCTGGGTGGCTCAGTCAGTTCAGCATCTGACTCTTGATTTTGGCTCAAGTCATGATTGCACAGCATCCTGAGACAGATCGTTGCTCTGCTTTTAGTATGGAGCCTGCTTGGGATCCCCTCTCTCCCTCTTTCTGTGCTCCTAACCAGCTTGCATGTGTGTGTGCTCTCTCTCTCTCTCAAAAATAAATAAACTTTAAAAAATAAATAAAATTAAATAAATAAAATAAAATAAAATAAAACTTTGTATATAAATTAAATTATTTTTAAAGTGACATTGATTTAGCAGGTAATATTTACCCTGGTCTACTTAAATATGCTAAAAAAAGATCTAATTAGCATAGCTTTATTCAATTTGATTATTACAATCCTTTTTATTTTTATATTTCATCACATGTACTCTTTTTTATCTCTTTTTTTGTTTGCATAGCTTTCTTAGTAACCTATTAAGATGTCTATCTCCCTTTAATTGGAGAAGTACAAAAATAGAAATATGACTAATTTCTGTCCTTCATAAGAAGAACAGATAAGTCATTTTAAAAGTTGTATCTAAGTGCAAACCTAATTACACTTTCTCTTTTTTAAAAGAATTTTACTTTATTTATTTATTTGTGGGGGCATACAAAGAGAGGGAGACAGAGGATCCCAAACAGGCTCTGCACTGTCAACACAGACCCCATTGTGGGGCTCAAGCCTATGATATGTGAGATCATGTCCTGAGCCAAAATCAAGAGTTGGACACTTAACCAACTGAGTCACCTAGGCATTCCCCAAGTATATTTTTTCAAAAATACATTAACTATACAAGAGATTCAATATAACTTTTTAAATGATATCTTTAAAAATTCTTGCCATATTTTCTTATATTGAGTTAATTTTCCTCTTGCCATAAAAACCACATATTCCTGATATCTGTGTCAATATAGGAAAAAGTCAAATAATACAGTAAGAAAAAAATGCTGATTTCAGCATTCTCTCCAAAGTATATTATCTACTGGCCAATTAAATTACTTTAGACTATGACAACCATGATGCCATAAAGACAGTCAAATTGTAATTTAGAGTCAATAATGTAAAGCATTCAGGGGCTGGACAGTAACATCCATATGCGGGGAAAAAAGGACATAAACCAATAGTAAGAATTTCCAGGCAAAGGTGTGCAGTTTCTAAATTTCACAAAACTTCAAGGCAGAATAGCACATAACAGCCACAATCTGGACCCTGTTCTTCTGACAGCTGTGTTGTGAGGCTGCATGCTCCCAGAGCAGGTGACTTTTTCAAGTCCCTATAAGGCATCACTATAGCTAATAGAGACCTTACTAGGGACCTGAGTGGGGAAAGAGTGAGAGGATAATGTAAAACCTAGAATGCCTGCTTACCCATTTACAGTGCTTCAAATTCAATATCATCAAAAAACAAAACAAAAACAAAATCAAAACAAAACATAAAAACCTCCTTTGGCTAAATAATACACATCTGCAGATCAGATTTTGCAGTAACTGCCACTTTTCTGCCCCTGGTCCAATATTAATACCTATTACACATTTGTCCTCTTAGATTTTCTTTCCTTTTTTTTTTTTTTTTTTTCACCATTGGCTACATAGCTAGATTTTTCAGATGGGTAATTCTACCAGCCAAAGCACTGGCAAACATCATTTTCCTACTGTCATCTGCCTAATGACATCCTCAAAACTGGTCAGTTTTTCAACTTTCTATTCAAATCACTACTACAAAACATTCCCAATTTCACTTATCACCATCCTCTATGATTATTTCTATAAAAAATAATTTAGCTAAATGTCCACTCACCTAAATATATTTATCTTGTTTCATTCTCTGTCAGTTGCTTTTCTAGTACTATTTGAAGGGAGGGGTCCTGCTTCATGGTAATGAATCCATAATTTCCTACAGTCATAAATATTAGGTATTCCCTTTTATAAATCAAAGTTTCTGAGCAGAGTATTATAAGGTTCCAAAAATTTCAGTGACATAAAATTTAAATCAAAATATTTTGCACTATCCCTAGATTTTAAGTCTACAGGGAATATAGAATTCAAAACTTTCTATTGTTACCATTGAGTCTTTTGGTTCATTTTGTTTTAATCACAAGAAACATGGCTAAGTCAAGACAATCTTTTTCTGTTTTAATCTATTTTCAGAACACAATTTTTTTCATTATATGATTTAATCAAGTCTTTACAGTACTTTTTTCAGTTCCAATATCAAATAAAAATATCTAAGCACTCTTTACCTCACAGAATTGTTTTCAGTAGAGTGATAAAAAGTCTCAACAAAGTAGTATAAGAGGGAATGTGTCTCAATACAATCAAGTCTATATTTGACAAGCCTACAGCTAACATTGTACTACATGCTAAAAAGCTAAAAGCCTTTCCTCTGAGATCAGGAACAAAACAAGGATGCCCACTCTTGCCATTTTTATTCAACACAGTACGGGAAGTCCTCATTATGGCAATGAGACAAGGAAAAAAGTTATCTGAATAGAGAAGGAAGAAGTAAAACTCTCACTATTTCCAAACGGCATGATATTATGTACAGAAAACTCTAAAGACTCCACCAAAGAGCTATTAAACTAATAAACAATTTTAGTAAAATTTCAGGATACAAAAATCAATATACAAAAATCTGTTATGTTGCTATACACTGATAAACTATCAGGAAGAAATATTTTTAAAAATATCAGTTATACTTGCATCAAAAAGAATAAAATAACTAGGAATAAATTTAACCAAGGAGGTGAAATATCTGTACATTGAAAACTATAAGACATAGCACAAAAACAAACACATAGATCAATGGAATACAATAGGAGAGCACAGAAATAAACCCATGCTTATATGGTCATTTAATCTATGACAAAGGAGGCAAGAACACACAATGGAGAAAAGACAGGCTCTTTAATAAATGGTGCTGGGAAAATTGGACAGCTACATGCAAAAGCATGAAACTGAACCACTTTCTATCACTATACACAAAAATAAACTAAAGTTGATTAAAGACCTAAATGTAAGACCTGAAATCATAAAAAAATCTTAGAAGAGAACACAGGCAACAATTTCTCTAGACATCAGCTGAAGTAACATTTTTCTAGATATGTCTTCTAAGGCAAGGGACACAAACTAAAAATAAAATAATAATAAATAAACTATTGAGGCTACATCAAAATAAAAAGGTTTTGCATAGTGAAGAAAATCATCAGCAAAACACAGACTAAACCTATTAAATGGGAGAAGATATTTGCAAGCATTATTTCCAATAAGGGGTTAATATATAAAATGAGTAAAGAAATTTATACAACTCAACATCAAAATCAAAACAAACAAAAACCCCACAAGCATCCAATTAAAAATTGGCAGATGACTTGAATAGACATCTCTCCAAAGAAGACATACAGATAGCCAACAGACACATGAAAAGATGCTTAACATCACTAATTATCAGGGAAATGCAAATCAAAGCCACAATGAGATATCACCTTACTCCTGTCAGAATGACTAAAATCGAAAAGATAGGAAATAACAGGTGTTGAAAAGGATGTCGAGGAAAAAGGAACTCTTGTGCATTGTTGGGGGGAATGTAAATTGGTCAGTCACTGTGGAAAACAGTATGCAGTTTCCTCAAGAATTCCACTACTTGGTATTAGCCCTAAGAAAATGAAAACACTAATTCAAAAAGATATGCACCCCTATGTTTATTACAGCATTATTTACAATAGCCAAGATATGGAAACAGTCTAAGTGTTCAACAATAGATGAAAGGATAAAGTGTGTGTGTGTGTGTGTGTGTGTGTATACAGCTTTTGCATGTAGCTGTCCTATACACACACACACACACACACACACACACGCATACATACATTCATACAACTATTATGTATTATATCATAATAGTATTATGCTGAGTGAAATAAGTCAGACTGAGAAAGACAAATACCATGTGATTTCACTCACA